TCCTTCTATGTTTTGCTTAAGATTTATCATGAAGCATGATCAAACAAGTAGTGAGAGTTGTGGAAGAAAGTTTTATGGAAAACCAAACGTGGTATTTGGCAAACAGCATGCATGCCTAGTTCAAAATACAATATATATATATATATTATAATTATAATGACACATGATATTGTAAATTTATAATAATATAATTATTTCATTTCAGTTGATAAAAAACTTAACTCTTTTTATATGAGATGTATACCTAAATTAGTATACATTATTCACTTATTTAATCTCATATTATTATAAACTTATAATCATACATGATGTGACATTGTAAGTATATTTTCAAAAATACCAACTTCTCAAAAAAACTAAGGTAAAGGAGTTGTTCCTGAAGTGTTGTAGTTATGATTTTTTTAACATTTTGTTATCACAAAAATTATATCATTATTTGATAATTACTTTAAAAAGAGTGTCTACATCAATATAACTATTAAATTATATAAAATATCAATTAAAATTAATTTAATAGGAATAAATTAGTAACATTTTTAATGAAGTGCTATGCAAAAAAATAAAAATAAAAATAAAAATATTATGGGATTGTAACCTCGAACCCAATCTAAGATGAGTCTTTCTTTTGTAGGGGTCTCCATATTTTGGGCCGAAGGATTAAATGTGACTGGTAGATCTTTAGCCCAAATAGATTAGAAAACGGACATCGTATCGTAGGATAGGCAGCCCATCTTCCTGAATTCTGGTCTTGTTCTAACTTCGTCTACTCTGCAAGTAATTGGGGCATTCCCCGACGGCAAAAACCCACCAACAAAACCCTAATTGCGGGTCGACGCTTGCTGATATTCACCTTCCTTGAAACCGGCACCGGAGGAAGGAGTGAAGAGATGGAGGAGGTTAAGCACGGCGAAGAAATCTCTCCGAACATGACGCTTTACATCAACAACCTCAACGAGAAGATCAAAATCGACCGTACGCAATCAATCTCTTTATTTATCATTACAATGACGACATGAAAGCTACATGCTGTTAATTTTAGGGTTTCGTTATGCAAATTCTTATCTTTCTGTGAAAAAAAAAATGCAGAGTTGAAGAAATCGTTGCACGCAGTGTTTTCTCAATTTGGGAAGATACTAGATGTATTGGCATTCAAGACATTGAAGCACAAAGGTCAAGCTTGGGTTGTTTTTGAGAATGTTAACTCCGCCAAGAATGCACTCCGGCAGATGCAGGGTTTCCCCTTCTACGACAAAGAGATGGTATGTTTTGCTTTTACCATACTTTATGTTATGGAATCTCTGTTGAATGAATTTCTTATTATAGTTGCCTGATTTTGAAGTTTGGTACTTGGGTTTGTGATTTTATGTGTTTTTTGGTTCTGTTAAGTGCTACTTGATTGCCTTCTTGCTCCCCAGTCATGACCTTTAGTTTTGTCTAGAGTAATGTCTGTCTTCGGCTAAGAAGATTGAGGAATTTTCAGTTTACAAAACGTGAGATTTTACATTGCAAGTTACCCAAAGTACCGGCTTTTGTGCTCGGTCAAGTTGCTTCTCTTTTTCTAGTCATCCTACCTACTGTTTACATACAAACTAGCATAGGAAATTTATGGAGGTTATAGAACTCAGGTTTTAGGCCACAAGACTTCTGAATATAAAATAGGTAAGTGGGATTTGTAAACTTACTTGTCTGATCACATCCTATTGAAAAGTTTTAGCTATTACTAAATGAACTAAATTAGAGTCTATATTGTTGCACCATGCATACAACATATTATTGTTTCACTGTTGGACTTGAGCTTTAATGGAATGGTGTTTTCCTCATTTACATCTTCTGTGGTTGGCAATTATTAATCCAATGTTTGAGTCCAGTGCTTCATATCTTTCAGCAATGAACTTTATGCATCTTCCATAAACAGGCTACTACTCATGGTTGGGTGATGGTAGACTAGATAGCTAAGTAAGTGGTGTAATCACTTGAACAGTTTATGCCTTTCAAGCTTACTCTGTAACCCTTCTCTGCTTGCCAGGCCTTGAACCCATGACCTCTTAACTTTGGCATTATCTGACTTCCCAAATACTCAAGGCCCTAAGCCAGTGAGCCATAAGTAGCACTGTGGGATCCCTTATGCCACTAGGATGTCATTTGCTGCTGGATTAGAATATTTTCATTGCCTCCTCTGACATAGTTTTCTTCCAGCTATCTTTCTTATGTCTTTTTAAATCTTATGTTTTTCTTGTTTCTTATTGGTGCAAAATTCGTTTAATTATACTCTATCTTGTCATCATTGGCTCTTAGAAACAATATTTTCTAACTTCTATAGAGCATCAGTTATCTTTCTGTGCCAATGAAATGATAACAAAATCATTTGTAACTTTTGCAGAGAATACAATATGCCAAAACAAAATCAGATATAATAGCAAAAGCTGATGGTACATTTGTTCCGCGAGAGAAGCGAAAGAGGCATGAGGAAAAGGGTTAGTCTCATTCTCTCTCTTTGCCTTGTCAATGAATTTTGCTATTAGGCAGATGATATTATTATTATTGTTTGTATTTCACTTCCGTGTGTTTTTATTATTTGCTCTTTCCTGTAATATTACTTGAATTTTTTTATCATGGAATGCCAAATCCCAGAAAATGTTGAGATTTAATGGCAAGAGATGAGTATAATTGGTTAAGCTAAGCCTTTCTTATTATAGGAGGAAAGAAACGAAAGGAACAACAGGATCCTAATCAAGTGGCAGTAGGTCTGAACCCTGCATATGCCAGTGCCTATGGCGGAACACCTGCTGTAAGTATCATAAGAGTCTGCTCTGTTCACTTCCTTTAGATATTTATTTATGGCTCTTTATAATTCTTACTTTGTGTTGCTCCTACCCTACTACGATGCAGCTATCGCAAATTCCCTATCCAGGGGCAAGACCTATCATTCCAGAAGCTCCCGCTCCTCCAAATAACATACTGTTTATTCAGAATCTTCCACATGATGCAACGGCAATGATGCTTCAAATGTTATTCTCCCAGTATCCTGGTTTTAAAGAGGTTAGGATGGTTGAAGCAAAACCAGGAATTGCCTTCATAGAGTACGGGGATGAAATGCAATCAACTGTTGCAATGCAAGCACTACAAGGTTTCAAGATACCGCCAGCCCAAAACCAAATGTTGATTACTTATGCGAAGAAATAGATTCAAGACTTTCATTCACGTATCAATCATCATTAGAAGTCAACAAACTATCTGTTCTTGTGATACACTCTCCCTTTAGAGGAATTTTAGAATTTTTGATGTACTTTCTGTAACCAAGATCCTGGGTAGATCAGTTAACAAAGAAATCAACAATTCAAATGGCTATGAGCCTATTGCAAATTAATTATACCCTCCCTTGTTTAATGTTGTGTTTGTCGTCCAGTCGGCCTCTTCGATTTTTGGTGTTGGGTGTTCTAAGTAACCAAAACAACATATTAGGTCTTATAGGCTAGTTGGTTGATGCATCTAATGTTTTAATTGGAACTAAGATTCAAATCATGATAATACCATATGAATATCTCCTCCCTCTTAACTTAAATTGTAATCGTTCAAAAAAACATAAATAATAACAAAAATAAGCCGCAGCCCGGCGAAATACAATGGTTGGGTGCACTTTTAGCCAACCCCCAAAGCCTCCATCCCTACTACTAAGATAACACATCTCTAAACAACCACAAGACTAGTCTTTGGCGTTTGGAAATTCCGGTGAAAGAACGATTAAACAGATCAATGGCAGCACATTGGAGGGGCAAATACGGGAATTCATGACATAAGGCCTGAGTTTTTCAACGGTTGTACAGCTGGAAAGAAAAAAGAAAAACCCAATAAAAAAAAAAACTAAACGACGTCGTTTATTTAGGGTTTTAGATCCTATACCTTCTTCTGCTCGCCTCCTCCCCGATGACAGTGCTAAATCTCTGCTTTTGGAACAAATAACCGTCTTCCCCTTCCTCAGCCAGGCAGCCGCCGTAGTCATGGTTGAGAAGAAACGGAAATTTAGAGGCGGTAGGGGTGGTGGCGAGTCCAAAAGCAAGAAAAAGTTTAGAAGCCATGGTAACTCTAAAGCCAATGGAAGGAAGAGGACTGGTCCTCGCTTGCCTTTTTCTCTGCGAAAGGAACTCGATCGTATAAACCATAGAAACTCTCCAAACAGCGACGACGATATCAATTCGGATGAAGGCGATGACGTTTATGAGTATGAGGAAGGGGTGCCGGAGGAAGAGTCGAGGAAGAATCGCCGGTATGACCCAGTGGAGAATTATGAATACGAGCTGCCTGAGCAATTTAAGGTTCGATACTCTTTTAAGTTTGTTTAATTTCAATCCTGTTTCATTCTTTTCTTCCGTAAATTTGGCCGCTGATTTGATTTGATTTGATGTATTTCTGGTTCTCAAACACTTCCTGTTTAGATTGCGTAGATTGAATAATTTTATGTTCTTTATTCTAAAATTGGGGTGTTTAAGATTCTTGTACTTCTTTCCTAGGATGAAAATGTGCCATCTGATGATGACGATGACTATGGTGGTGGCGATGGTAGGGGTGAAGGTTCAGACCACCTTAGTGATGGGGTTGAAGAGGAAGATGAAGAAAAGCACGCAAGGATGCTACAAGGGATCACTGGAATGCCAAGGGAAGCATTCGGAGGTGAGTCTTTAATGAATTTTCTTTATTGAATATATTGAAGTGGTTAGATCGATAAATTTCAAATCATCAAGGAGATATGGCTTATAATGGCTACAATGCTTCAATAACATAATTTTCTTTCTAGTCATCTTATCTCTTAATCACCTGTTTTTCTGTTTGAAAATTTAGATTTGTTCTTCTTTGTTTTGGGTTAGATTGAACTTATATGCATCCATCTTCAGCCTTTTCTTGCATTAATGGATTAAAATGCCATATTTTAGCTGAGTTGCAATGGCTAAACTTGCCCTTGAAATCGGAAAGTATGTTTGCATGGTTGATGTGATGGAAATTTTTTCTTGAATCATTCTGAGTATTTGCTTTGCTGCATCTATATATTTACTTTTATATTTGGATATCAGGATCAATGATCTCAAATTATATTGTTTTCAGGCAAGAAGAAGAAAAATAACATTGTGATATCTGAGGCATATCCAGAGTCAGAATATAATCCTAGTCGTGATGTTCTGGATGGTGATGGCCGCATCACAGTTCAAGATCTTTTGGACCCTCTTCAAGGAAAATCTGGGTTTAGCAAACTTAGGAAGAGAGTGCAGCATGTTGAGGAGAAGTCTACATCCATTCAAGCTCCACTTCCAAAGCCAGATCGAGAGAGGTTGGAGAGGAAAGCGGTTTATGAACAATCAAAGAAAGACATCACCAAGTGGGAGCCTTTGATAAAAAAGAATAGAGAGGCACCTACTGTTTATTTTGATGAAGATATAGATGTTGGGTTTTCAACAGTGGGGGCAATAGCTTCTGAATTTGAACCCCGAACTGAGTTTGAGAAGAAAATTGCATCATTAGTTTATGATGACAAGATCATGGAAGCTCACAAGGCAGATGGTTCCAAGCTTTTGGAGTTAAACAAGGTATGAGGGTTCTAGAGGTTTCTTTCCATTAAACTTGCCATTAATCTTTCTTCATATGTATTGAAATTCCCTCCTTTTGTTGATGCCCATATATTTTCCTTAAGAACTTAACCCTTTAAATCCAGGCCAAGTAAGTTTTCTCTTTGCCTGCTGAATTAGTATTTTAACAGATCCTAATGTCAATTTAGCATTAGACGAGAAATAGAAACTATCAAAATGCTGAATCTGCTGTCATGCTGAGATTTATGGGGATTTCTGAATCTACTTATGTTGTTATTGTCATCTTAAATATCTTTATGGAACTGAGCTGCAAATGCATCTGACAGGGAGAGTAAGTGAGTCTGATAAAGAATGTTAGAGAAAATAACTAACTTAAGTTTCAGAGATGAAACTGGAATTTAGTGTAAGAATTAATCTGATAATTTGTAACTGAAGGGAAAGTAAACAGTGATTGAGTAGTACTGTGGTTGCATTTTGATTTTGCTTGTTTTTGTTTTGCATACCGCATGGTGTTATTTTTCAAGCCTTCTGTTTCTGTACATTTATCTATAAATATCAGCTACCTCTTTTAATTTCTTAGGTTTCATTTCACAGGGGACTTCAGCTTCATGTTTGTTGCATTTTCTACTATGTAAAAATGAGATCACAGCATTAAGTACTTTCTTATGGTTGTTAAAGATCTTCTGACTATGGTATCTATGATCTGTAGATATCTATGGAAGATTATATGAAGGAGAGGAATCACATCGCCAAAATGCGTGGCCTTCTTTTCCATCATGAAATGAAGAAAAAACTTATAAAAAAGATCAAATCCAAAACATATCATCGTTTGATGAAGAGAGATAAACTGAAAGCAGCAGAACAAATGTTGATGGATCCAGAGACAGCCAAGGAGCAGGCAAGGAAGCAAGAGTTCAAACGGGCTGAGGTGATTTATCTTGAATTTTATCAGTACCATCTGCTCCAAGTCCAAACAGCTTTGTGTTTTATGATTAACCAATGACGAAATGATGCAGTTTGTATTTTGATTTCTCTCCATTAAATGTTATGCAGGAGCGAATGACTCTAAAACATAAAAATAAATCAAAGTGGGCTAGGCGCATTTTGGACCGTGGTTTGAGTACCCAAGATGAAGGTACTCGGGCAGCAATGGCGGAACAGCTCAATCAGCATTCTCTTTTGACGAGAAAGATGAACACCATGAAGGACAGTAGCAGCAGTAGCAGTGATAGCAGTAGTGATGAGGATGATGACAACTCAGCTGACTCAGATCGTGATAGGAAATCTGAATTGCTAGCAAAAGCAAGAGAGAAGACGCTGAAAGTATTAGAAGAAGGGGATGAAGTGCCTAAGTCAGGAGTGTTGTCTTTACCTTTTATGGTACTTTTTTTTTTTTTGGTTGCTGCACCTGCATTGATTTTTGAATAGTCATACTTGTCCATCAGTATTAATTCATTTTTCTCTATCAAAAATTTCTGGCTAATCTGCTTTTTAATAGGTCCGGGGATTGGAGAAAAGAAAGCAAGAAGCTTTAGAAGAAGCCAAGCTTGCTCTTCAGGACTACGAACAGTTAGAGGGTGCTGATGGTACAGTCAATTCAAAATCAGGTGTTGTGAGTGGTAGAAGGGTCTTCGGTGGGGCCAAAATTGGGGCTCTGGAATTAAATAATAAGATGAAAACTGATAATAATGAGATGAAAATAGATAATTATTATGGAAATGAAGATAGTGAAGATGATTTGGGAGCCAAGGAAAATTTTAATGTCAGCACTGGAATGAAAAGTGATGCTAAGAAGAACGTTCATGGTGATTATGGTGTTGAAGATGCCAAGAATAATCAGAATTCTGTATTCAAGGTAATGTGGCTCTTAGTTTGTTTGATTTTCTCCTGTTTCATAAGCATGATAAGTATTTGCTTATTTGGTGGCTCACAGAATTTTGAGGATATTGTTAAAGACCCAGGCCCAAAGACAACATATGATGTTGCTATTTTTGCTTCAGGCACATGGAAAAAGGTTATGATTTGCAACATCCACCCCCCCCCCCCTTTCTTTTTTATCAATGTGGAGGCACTTGGTGTTCAATACTAATCAGTCAATATACAATGAACAGATGAATAGTGGAAATGAAGTAGATACTGATATGAAGAAATCCCCAAAAATTGCTGACCGTGTTACACATGATCAAGACTTACAGGTACAATCTTCAATCTCCACATTATTTTGCACTACATTTTTTGTTATTGCTGGCCTCTAACATTTTCTGGTTTTTGTCCTTGGAAACCAGAAGGAAGTAGGAAAGGAAAGTGATTCGGATAGTGAGGGACAAATGGTGGATGGGATTTTGTCGTCTGGTGCCAAAGATTCTTATGAGCTTCCTTCGCAAGCAGAGTTGATTCGACATGCTTTTGCTGGGGATGATGTGGAGGAAGAATTTGAGAAGGATAAACAGGAGATTTTGAACGAGGAAAACCCCGAACCTGAGAAGCCTGTTTTTCTCCCAGGTTGGGGCCAATGGACTCACATACAGCAAAAGAGAGGTTTACCTTCATGGATGCTTAAAGAGCATGATGATGCAAAACGAAAAAGGGAAGAGGCTCTCAAGAAGAGAAAAGATGCTCATCTCAAACATGTCATTATCTCTGAGAAGTTGGATAAAAAGGTTAGCTGTTCTAGTATGATTTAGCATGCATCTCACCCAGATGTTGATATAATTAACAACAGTTTAGCTGAGTTGGTACTCACTGACATCAACCCTGTAATTCTGAGGTTTAGGTTAACTAACTTCGCCCAAAAAAAAGGGGGGGAGGGTGTAAGTAGAAAACTTAATCCAACTCTTAAGTTCCTATGTTTTTGGCCTTCCTAATGTGTACCTAATTTGAATTTTGTAGATGCAAGTATTTTTAGTGAAGATCAAAGAGGAGATGCACTTAATGTGTCAAAATAAATATATTTGCTCCTTAGCTTCATATATGCTGAATCTTCACTGATGCTCTGATGCATTAAGTAGCATTTGACACAATTTACATAAAAGATTGTGTTTTGCAATACAAGCCTTAAAGATTTTGGTGGTTAATTCTGCCCCCCTTTTTTGTTTTTTGATTGGACAGGCAGAGAAACTGCAAACAAAAACTTTGCCATACCCTTTCACATCTAAGGAAGTTTTTGAGCAAAGCATGCGCATGCCAATTGGACCTGAATTCAACCCGGTATCAGCAATTGGAGCTCTTAATCGGCCTGAAGTGAGTTCCTCTTTCAATCCATTTGTTGCTCATCATATCAGCAATTGTTTCTGTTTCTACTTGAAAAACTATTTCTTTGATTCCCTTCATGTTTCTCCCTTTTC